CACTGTGCTAGGTACTGAGTAAAAGTAAAAGAGCCCCTGTTCTCCAGGGGCTTACAGTCTAATTAAGGGAGAAACCATGAACTACTTATGTAGGTGTATGCAAAGTAGATATAAGATACTTTTGAGGGGGAAGGCAGGTGGATGGATCAAAAACAGATTCAAGTCAAATGTTGAGCTTGAGCTGAGGCTTGAAGGAAACTAGGAATTCTAAGAGAGCAGAAGAAAGAAGGGAACCCATTCCAAGCATGGGGCCAGGAGATAGGAGATAAAAGGAACAGGAATGAGGACAGTTTGACTGGATGGTACAGTGTGTGTGTGTGTGTGTGTGTGTGTGTGTGTGTGTGTGTGTGTGTGTGTGTAGAGGAGCAGTATGTAATAAGACTAGAAAGGTAGATTGGGACTGGATTGCAAGCAGAGGAACCTATAGTCCATCTTGGAGGTCTTAGGGAGCCATTATTGGCTAGAGTTTATCAAGTCCTGGGGTATGGATAGGGTCAGATCTATGCTGTAGGAGAATCACTTTGGAAGATAGCAGGAAGATGGCCTGAAGAAAGGACAGGTCTGAGACAGTGAGCCCAATTAAAGATTGATGAAAAAATGCAGGGGAGAGGCAATGATGGCCTGAGGTACATTATGTGCATGGGGAGAAGGGGAACAGGTTCAAGAGATGTCATGGGATAGAAATAATAAGATTTAGTAAACTATTTGCATGCATAGTTCTATTATCTAAATCTAAATCTAATATCTAAACTATTGCATACATAGTTGCATACACACATTCACTCTGTCTGCTTCTACCCCCACCTTAGCAAGCAACCTCCCAATCTGTGTCTCTAGTCCTGACTTCTCTTATAAACCCCAGACTTTCATCCTCAACTTCACTTTGCAAATGCTTGTAAAGTAGCTGGGAGCAGGGGACTTTCTTGGCAATCACTGGAGTGGTTTGCCATTTCCTTTTCCAGCTCATTTGACCGAAGAGCAAACTGAGACAGACAGGGTGATGTAACTTGCCCAGGGTCACAAAGCTAGTGCTTGAGGCTAGATTTGAACTCAGGAAGATGAGTCTTCCTAACTGTAGAGATGGTGCTCGATGCACTATGGCACCACCTAGCTGCCCTGGATATACCACGAACTCAAAATGAGATTCTGCATGGAAAGATATGTTTTTGAATAGCAGCTCTGCTCTGCACTAGCTGTGTCGTCTTCAATCACTTCCCCTCTCTGGGCCTCAGTTTCCTCCTCTGTAAAATGAGAAGGTTGGATTAGATGACTTCTCAGGTCCCCTCCGGCTCTATACCCTGTGGTCCTATGAGCTCGAGTTTCTTAATGCAGAAAAAGGGGATACAAATGCCTGAAACCCCCAAATCCCAGGGCAGTTTTGAGGAAGGCATCTTTGCAAGCTTCACATAAACGTGAGAGCTATCACAGTGACATTTAGTGAGTTCCCATTTTGGTTTTAAAGTGTCCTCTGCACTAGGCTAGGAGGGTTACAAAGGAAACAGAAGGCATTTTACTTCCATCTGGCTAGGGGGATGGGAGACAGAAGCCAGACATGAGCCAGACACATGAAACTGCTGAAGAACACACCGACTGAGCAGCAGCCTAAATGACAGCCAGTGGATGTGGTGTGAACTGAGGCCAGGAGGCAAACTGGCAAGTGCGAGACTCGTGCCTGTGCAGAAAGCGCTGGACATCCAAGGTCATGGGCAAGTCATTTCCTCTCTGCACTGAAGGAGGGCATTGGACCAGATCACAGAATCACAGATCCGAGGCTGGAAAGAATCTCAGAAGGAGGCAGGCGTGTCCAACCCCCTCCTTTGACACAGAAAGCCACCCCGGTCCGATGACTTACTTGAAATTACATTGTAAATTTCAGAGGCAGGATTTGAACCCACAGCTGCTGATCTTTCTACTTTTTTTAAAACTCTTTCCTGTTCTATATTCTATATAGTCTGCAGGGGCTTTTGGCTGGTTCAGGAAGAGTTGAGATCAGGTGAAACTTTTATTTATTTATTTTTTGGAAGCAATCAGGGGAAAGTGACTTGCCCAGGGTCACACAGCTGGTAAATGTCTGAGGCCAGATTTGAACTCAGGTCCTCCTGACTCCAGGGCCAGTGCTCTATCCAAGGTGAAACTTTTAAAAGAGGGTTCCTGGAAGGGACCTCTGAAATTTCCCTTGTCTATTCTCTTGTTTCTTGGCACGATAGTATTGACCACAGTCTAGGGCTCCCACTGTCTTTCCTTGTCACTTACCAAGACAGTCCTCTCTTATATTATACCCTGAGCTGGCAGGGACTTCAGAAAGCCAGTCTGAGCCTCTTATTTTACGTATGAGAAACCTGAGGCTCAGAGGAGTTCAATGTCTTGCTTGACATCACACAGGCAGTGATCATCAGTGACAAGATTTGAACTCAGCTCCTTGGACTCTAGAGCCAGTGTGTTTTCCACATATCACATAGCATCTTCCTCCAGTAGTCATTTGGAGTTTTAGCTTAGCATAATTGAAGCATATCCTCCTTAAGTAAGTTCTCTTTCTGTGCTCTCTTCCTCCTTCCCAATGTCCTCCCTCATCCTCACTAGCCAAACATCCCATCCCCAAAGGATATTAGCATCACTTACACTTTGCTGTGAACTTGAAATGCTTTCTTACTTTCCCCACAGGCATTTATTTATTTTTATGTTTCTCTAAGGCAATGAAAGACTATTCTGGGTTTAAAGCATCAATGAGCAAGTGCGGCTGGGGTGTATTTATTTCCTTAAATATAATCCAATTCAATAAGCATTTATTAAGCTCTACCTTGGGTTAGGCACTGTGGCTGGAGGCATGTGATTATAATAATTACTTATATTTATATGGTACTTTATAGTTGGAATATATGTGGTGTTCAGGAGGACTAGTGCCTCTGGTGCGAGGGCTTGCTGAGCCCTTTTCAGGGTTGCTTTCCACCTTTGGAGTCCACCTTTCACTCAACTCTCACCTGTGACTCCAAGAAGCTGTAGCATTCGACGAGGCTACATCCTGGTAAAACCATCTCTCCAGATGGGCTAAATCGGGTTGAGAGTAACTGACGGTTCTCAGATCCATCAGTGAGTTAGGGAGATGTCTACCCCAAGTATGTAAAGACTTTCTCCAGGCAGAATGGATGAATCAGAACAATTTGTTCCAATGGCCATGAAAGTGGCTGAAGCAGGTGCTGTGGAGCACTTAGAACTTGGTCAGACACAAATAAGCCCACTGCATCCAGGCTATTGCCATTTGTCTTAACTTTTGTCTTGCCACTGGACTTCAATGACTGTTAGAAGAGAGAATGAAGCTGAAGGCTTTGTGCAGCTCTGTGTCACTTAACTCCAATTCATCCCTGACTCAAGACATCACCTATGATGTCATTGGTCCTCTTCAAAAATGAAGGACAAACAACAGCTTTATAGTTACGAAGTATGTCCAATGGAAAGAAGCCTTTAACAGTCAGGAGAACTGGGCTCCCATAGTAGGGCTACCTCTAAGTCATTTATGAGCCTCAAGTTCTCTGTAAAATGGGATAATTACACACCTGCCTCACCGGGATGTTGTTAGAAAAGCACTTTGGCAAAAGTGATAGTGCTCTAGAAATATGAATTGCTTTTATTACTACAAGCATGGTGAGGAAGGTAGGCGGCACAGTGGATAGAGCGCTGGGCTTGGTGTCAGGAAGACCTGCTCTCAGATACTGTATGATCCTGGGTAAGTCACTTAACCTGTGCTAACCTCAGTTTTCTCTGCTGTAAAGTGGGGATAACAATTGCACCTACCCCAGGGTTGTTGTAACGATCGAACAAAATAATGTTTGTAAAGTGCCTGGCACATAATAAGTGTTATATAAATGATTGTTCCCCTCCCCATTAAAAACTTCAGTTTAAATTCCAGTTCTGTCAGGGAAGGGGGGGAGGGGAAGGAGGGTTGGGGGGATAGAATTTGGAGCTCAAAACTTTTAAAAAAAATGTTTAAAATTGTTTTTAACATGTAATTGAGAAAAAATATTATTAAAAAAAAAGAATAAGTCCCATTTCTGACACTTCGGACCAGATAGACCCTACTCACATCTCTTCACCTCCCTGGGCTTCCTCATCTCTAAAATGAAGGAATTGAAATAGATGATCTCTAAAGCCCCTTCTAGCTCTCAATGATTCTATGAGTCATTGAATGTGAAGAACTGTTTTGTTTATTATTTCATTCAATCCTTGTAACAGCCCTGGGAAGGAGGCACTGGGAACATTCTTCTCTCCTTTTGATGGAAACGGAGCTTTGGAAAACATAAGAACTTTGTCCAAGGTTACGCAGCAGAGCTCAGGGGTCCAAGAGACGCTTGAATCCAACGTTTCTGCCCCAGAGTGTTTGTACTGTGTCACATGGCTTCTCACTGCAACCTAAAGATTTCAAAGTTCTCCTTTTTCCTTTCAACAGAGCATTGGCTAGCAGATTTGTTGCTAGAAGGAACCTTAGAGGATAAGGAATGCAGCTGGAAAAATTCTAGATTTGGTGTCATAGGAGAGGGAGTGCATAAGGGAAGACAGGGAGCCAACAGACAGGGGAGAGGAGGGGAGGGGAGGGAAATGGACAGGCAGAAAAGGGAAGGAGAGCTAGCTAGGTAGAGGAAATCAACCCTCCCTGCTGCTTCTGAGAGTATGATTCATTGCTCAGCAGCAAGGCGAGGGCCATGGGGAATATAGTTATGGAGGCTGCTCTTCTTCAAATGCCCATTCACAATGTGGTTTAATGCATTGGTGTGGGAAGACTAGCACTGACCCTGGAAGGGTCCATTCCCTTTTCTCTCCTCCTCTCTCTCTTCCTCTCCCCCTTTCCTCTCTATCTCTGTCTTTCCTTTCACTGCTCTCTCCCTCCTCTCCTCTGTCTCTTTCTTCTTTCTCCTCTGCCCCTTTCTTCTCTCCTTTCCTTCCACTGCTGTCTCTCTCCCTTTGACTGCCTCTCCCTTCCTTTGTCTCTTCCCTCCCCTCTCCTCCCCTGCCTTCATCTTCTCTTCTCCTCTCCCTACTCTTCCCTCCTTTCGGCTCTTCCTGAGGGAGGAAGGATCTGGCAACCTGCGAGTGTAGTGGAGATCAACAATTAGCGCCAACAAAAATGGCTCCCCCACCCCCATCCCAGTTGCAGTCTCTGGAGAGCCTCCCTCCGGGTCTTGTTAAAAGAAACGGTAAGCGCAGTGGAAAAGACAATGGAAATGCTAAAGCCAGGGAAGACGTGGTTCCAGGTGAGAGACAAACTTTCATGGGAGCCCTGGGGCAGCCAGCCTTGAGCATCCTCTATCTACCCTCCCCTCCCCTCCCCCGACATCACCACCTCCTAGGGATCATCTTAGAAGAAATGATCCCAGCAGGAAAGAAGGAAACAGCACTAGCAGCTGAAACCTAGATCAACATTGGGATGAGATCACTTGCCTTTGTGGCTGCAAACTCTTGATGTTGTTACTATACCTGTAAAGTATGTGTGCTGCTGTCAAAACGGTAAGTTAGGCCTGGGGTGAAGACACCTCCTTGGGGTGAATGACTTGTCAACTTGTCAACAAAGGGAAATGAGTGGAGCTAGGGTAGGAGGGAAATTTTCTTGGGGCATCTTCCTTAGAATCATACACAAAGTTAGAAGGAAGGGATCATAGAATTATAGATTTATAATTAGAAGGGACCTTAGAGGTCATCTACTACAACCCCCTCCTTTTACAAAAAGGGAAACTGAGGCCTGACAGGGAAAATGATTTGCCCAATGTCACAAAGGATAGTGGGGATAGTAAGCAGAGTCAAACTTCAAACTCAGGACCTCTGAGCCCAAGTTCAGTACCCCCTCCACAATCTTTCCATTTTACCTCAAGAGCTAAGTGTGAAGTATCATTCTAGAAGCATGAAATTGGTAAGAGGCATGAGAAGCTTTGAAACTATTAAAAAAAACACCTTGGTCTCTAACGTCCAAGGGCCACTGACAAAGGATAGTTAAGAGTTGTCTCTGGGTTTAAAAATTAGAGTCATTGGGGCAGCTAGGTGGTGCACTGGATAGAGCACTGGCCCTGGATTCAGGAGGACCTGAGCTCAAATCTGACCTCAGACACATGACACTTACCAGCTGTGTGTCCCTGTGCAAGTCACTTAACCCCATTGCCTAGCCAAAAAAAAAAATCTATATCTATATCTATATCTATATCTATATCTATATCTATATCTATATCTATATCTATATCTATATCTATATCTATATCTATATCTATATCTATATCTATATCTATATCTATATCTATATCTATATCTATATCTATATCTATCTATCTAGATATAGATATATAGTCATTTATGATTACAGAGATAAAGCCCAAGTTGGACTGAGACTATAGTTAGAGGTCATAGCCTCCAGGATATTTTACCAGTTTCTTCAAGTGTTCTTCTATCAATCTGACTTACTCCATTCAATTCCTCCAATCTTGCTTCAGTCACACACCATAACTAGGGCAGGGCAGCCAGAGTTTTGCCCCAGGTGTTGAAATGAGGTGGGAAGGCCATGCTTATTGCAGGAAGTCACATGTTCCCTTCTGTGGTTCAGAGCCCAACATCTTCACACTTCATGGTCCTTCTTGAGCCTTCATCAACATCACAACTTAGTGTCCTATCCCCACGTCTCCCTGTCCTGCCTTCCCTTTCAATTTTCATTGAGTCACAGGATTTCAGGGGCATGGACTTTTCCCACTCCTGGAGCAACTGTGCCCACAGCTGGACAGTCTTCTGTTGTTCCAGGTAAAAGACTTCCTAGTTATGGCCCTACACATCTTAGACCTGGTCACTTCCTAGAATGACACCATATCCAAGATCTAGACTTGAAACTCCATCCTTTGATCACAAACTCCTAGCTATACATGACCCTCACACTAGTAGCCTACTTTTTGCCTTCATCATGACCTTGGGTCCTCTGAACCATCCTCTATTCTGTCTTTCTCCTTTACTCTGAGTTTACGTGTCTCCTTACCCAGATTGGACTCCTAGGTCTATCATTTTATACCACATTCACTACTGCCCCTAGAAACCTTGCTCCTTTGATCTTCTTCCATTCCCCAATTGCCAACCCTCATTCTTTGAGTAACCCTTCAAAATCCAGTTCTCCTGCTCTAGCAGCAAGCCTGCTGAGCGCTGCTGAAGGACATCATGATTTCGCCCACTACCAATTCATAGATTTAGAGCAGGAAGGGACTTCAAACATCATTGAGTCCAAGCCCTTTTATCTTTCAGATGAGTAAACTGAGTACCAGAGAAGTTATGTGACTGGCCCAGGGTTAGAGTCGGTAAATATCTACATTGGAATCTGAATTCAGTTCTTTCTGATTCCAAATCAAACATTCTTGCCATTATATTATGTTGCCTCACAATTCACGGTAGATAACCTCAACTGGATCTTTGCTATTGCTCACCATTGGCTCTTTCCCTTCAAAATGTTCAAGCCTCCACAACCCCCTCCCCCAAAAGCCTTTTCTTCGACCCTCGTACTCTATCCAACTATTGTCCTATCTTCTTCCTCTTATTTTGGCTGCTAACTTTCTGGAAAAGTTATTTATACCTAATGCCTCCACTTCCTCACCTCCTACTTTCTCCTTAACTCCAGCCCCCATCACTTATTTTAAACTACCCTCTCAGATGTCACCAATGACCTCCTAGTTCCAAAATCTACCGACCTTTTAAAACTCCTCCTCCTCCTTGGTATTTCAGCCACTCTTGACATTGTTCATCATTCTCTTCCTATTGGATTCTTTCTCCTCCTTTAGAAAGAGCATTGTTTTTCCTCCTCCCTAGCCATTTCTTCTGTCTTCTTCACTGGCTCCTCATCCTCCTATTCCTGACTCCCCAGAGGGAATCTTTCCTAAGGGTCTTTCCCTGGCCCTCTCCTCTCCTCTCTAGACATTCTCCACACCTGCTCTCTTGGCCATCTCTTTAAGCCTTGTGACTTCAACCACCACTTCTGCAAATCCATATTTCCAGCATTGGCTTCTCCTGAACTTCAGATCCATATGTCCAATTGTTCATAGAACATATGCAACCTCATTCCTCAGTGGCATCTCAAATATATGTATGTGTGTGTGTGTGTATAAATGGAGTTCATTACATTTCCTCCTAAGCCTGATCCTCCTCCTGACTTCAGCATTTCTGTCTATGGCATCACCATATTCCCTGGCTCCCTTATTTGTTACATTGGGGTTATCTTTGAATCTTCCTTTTCCAACATCTCTCATAGTCAGTTACCAAGCCCTGTCAATTCCACCCTTCTGGCATCTCTCCCCTCTGTTCCCTCCTCTGTCCTCACTGATACTCTTTTAGTATAAGCCTTTTTTACCACAATCTGGACTATTGTGATTGTCCTCCCTGCCTCCACTCCCTCCCATCTCTAACGTGTCCTTCATACCACTGCCAGAAAAATCTTTCTTATTTATAGATCTGGCCATCATTTCTTGGCTCATAACATCTTTAGTGGCTTCTTATCACTTACCAAGTAGACAGTCAGCTCTTCTTCCTGGCATTCTATGCTCTCCATGATTTGTTGTCTCCCTACCAACAGAACCCATCTCTTATTACTCCCTCCATGCACTCTATGCCAGCCAAACTGGACTACTCTCTTTACCAGACACACACTGCTCTTTCACAACGTGGTGCCTTTGCTCATACTCTCTTTGGCAGGAATGCCTTCATTTTCCCTCTTTCTCTGTAGGACTCCTACCTATCCTTCAAAGTTCAACCCAAATGCCACCTCCTCCTCAGCCTTCACCTCTACTCCTTATACACAGACACAGGCACACACACACACACACACACACACACACACACACACACACCCTTCCCCCTCAGAGCTCACATTGAATTTTGTTTTGTAATTCCCTAATGCAATTATTTATTATTGTATTATGACTATATATGTGTATGTGTGTATATGTGTATATACTATATATGTGTGTGTATATATATGTATATGTGTGTGTGAGTTTCTTACCCTCCTTTTGTTATTGTTATTCAATCGTTTCAGTCATATCTAACACTTTGTGACCCCATTTGGGGTTTTCTTGGCAAAGATACTAGAGTGGTTTGCCATTTCCTTTTCCAGCTCATTTTATAATTGAGGAAACTGAGGCAAACAGGCTTAAGTGACTTGCCCAGGGTCACACAGCTAGCAAATGTCTGAGACCAGATTTGAACTCATAAAGATGAGTTTCCTGACTCCAGGCTCAGCACTCTATCCACTGTGCCACCTAGTTGCCTCTTATCCTCCTTCTAGGCTGTAAACTCCATGATGGCAGGTAACTTGTCTTAGCTAGACTTGGTATTTCCCTCAGCCCCTAGAATAGTGCTCTGCATGGGAAAAGTTTGCTGTGTAGAGCTGGGTTTCCTCTAAGTGAAGGTGAATGAAGAACTCATTTTATCTTTGTCTAGAGGGTTATGCCAGGTAGCTGACCCAGACAGAGATGGATCAAGACAGAAAATATAACTCTGCTGACAGGGTCAGGCAGGGCTAACTGAAGATGAGAATGTCTTCATAATTGGACATTTCCAGGCCTCTGCACATTTTTTTAAAAATTTATTTCACTCTCCTCCTTAATAACCCTGTACAGTCACCTTATTTGTGAGAACAGTGTTAAAATAATTCTCAGCTATGTGGCTGTGAATCGCTGGGACACTACCTTCTGTAGAGAATCGACATTGCACAGAACTAGAAGGGCCACAGAAAGACACTTGATGGGCATAAGTAGGCTATAACGTGGTGCCAACCCTGACTTGCCAGCAAGAAGTGGCATAAAAACAATAGCAGCCAGGAAACGTATGATTGGAAGAAGAGGTGAGCTGGTCATGAGGCCAGAGAGAGGGATGGACGATGGTCTGAATGCTGCTGCACTGGACCCCATGAAATCCAGCATGGAAAGAAAATTTTTGAAGGTTTATTGGAGGTCAGCACATTTGTGTTGCTGCAATTTACACCATTGAGGCAACTGTACAAGGTGTCCCAAAAGCCTTCATGCTGTTTTATGCTTTTGTTATTGCTGTTAAGTCTTTTTGGTCATGTCCATGGGGTTTTCTTGGCAAAGATACTGGCAAAGATGCTATTTCCTTCTCCAGTAGCAAATAGAGAATAAATGACTTGCCCAAGGTCACATAGCTAGGAGGTTTCTGAGGCTGGATTTGAACTCAGGTTTTCCTGATTCCAAGCCCAGAACCCAGACCAGATAGTACATGTGAA